CTCGCTGCTAATTCTCTCTTGAGAACTCTGCACTCCCTCTTAAAGTGCCCATTCCCTTGACAATGATAGCACACGACATCTTTCTTAGATTTAGACCGTCCCTTGGACTTGTCATTCCGATCACGTGGCCCTCTGCTTTTACTTCTGCCTCTTCTATCTGACTTCTCTGTCACCAGAGCCTCCGACTCAGACTCAATACTCTGCTCTTTTCTTCTGACTTCTTCATTCATCAAAGCCTCTTTGACCTGATCCAAGGTCAAGACACCATCCTGGGTTGAATTACTGATTGACACTACCAAAGTGTCCCAACTGTCTAGAAGAGAACTGAACAATAACAAAGCCTGCACCTCATCATCCAACTTTAAACCTACATTCACTGCCTGGTTCAACAAACCCTGAAACGAACTCAAGTGCTCATTCATGCTAGCACCATCTTTGTACCTCAACCTGGTAATCTGCTTTAACGCAGATGACTTATTGATGCCGGACTTCTTCCAATGTATATTCTGGATTTTCTCCCAAAGTTTATCAGCTTTTATTTCTCCCGAAAGTGATGAAACACACTTTGATCAATCCACTGTCGAATATTACCAATAGTCTTCCTGTGCATATCAGCCCACGTCTTATCAGTCATATCACTTGGCCTATCTTCATCCCCTAGAACAGAATCAAACAAATCTTTGCAATACAACAAGTCTTCCATTCTAGGTTTCCAGGTATGATAATTGGATGAAGTCAATTTAATCATCATACCAGCCCCCACGACTCTTCCATTTTATTAGTGTAACACCTAAACTACCGAACCGTAGCTCTAATACTACTGTTGTGGATTTATCCGGAGGAGAAAACCCGACATGGAGTCCAATAAGTAAGATAAGACCCATCTAAACTCAAAAGCTTAAGCTAATGGGTTATGAGTCCACCTTATTTATTAACTGATTTACATGTCCTCATGCCTCCGATGTGGGATTTACAACCCTTGCCACATGACCCTCAACAGTAGGGCTGTCAAATCGGGCGGTTTAGGCGGTTCGGGTGAGTTCGGTTTAGATCAGATTTTTTTGCTCACAAAACCTACCCGAAACCAAACCGCAAAATATACAAAGCCGAACCGAACCGACAGATAAACCGATTAGTTTTCTGGGCGGGTTTATCTTCATCCGAATTAGTTTCAGATCTGAAAGTCAGCCACTTTCCTCAATCAAAATCCGGCACAAATGAAACATCAAATCTTATTTTTACTCACGAACCATCCAAACTCTTGTAATCTACAATTTTCTTTTGCGAAGAATAAAAAAAGCATCATACTTCAAGCCTTTTGATTTTCTGATCTAATAAAATCTCAAGAAAAAAAATTCAAACAAAGGGATAGAAAGAGAGAGAGAGGGAGGATCGGAGGGAGGGAGGGAGGGAGGGAGAGAGAGAGAGAGAGAGAGAGAGAGAGAGAGAGAGAGAGAGAGAGAGAGAGAGAGAGAGAGAGATATGACTTGTTAATCTTTTTTGGCGTCGAAGGTTGAAGGCCGAAGGGCGGAGGGCAGTGGGCAAGCAAATTAGCTGAAAGAATGGGTAAATAATTTTTGAGGCAATGGATTTGAGAAGTTGGAAATGGGGAACAATGGAGGCGGCGGCAGTATGGAGGAGGGGAAAGAAAATTGGAAGGGAAAATGAGAGAGGAAAAAGCCTAATACCTATGTAGTTATAAATGAAAAAATTTAAAATATTTATAAAACTTTATTCGGGTTTCGGGCGGGCCCCGAGTAAAAAACATTTCACCCAAACCCGCACCGTATAACATTTGAAATTTTTGGGTGCAACCGATTATCCGCCCGATATCCAAAAAACCCGGACCGAAACATCCGAACTTGATTCGGGTCGGGTGGATTTTCGGGTTGACCCAATTAACTAACACCCCTACTCAACAATAACCTATTAAACCTGTAACTGATGGTTGAGCTAGACCAAGTAAAATGCAAAGTGATCTGAAATTCTTCTACTGCAACCGCAATGGAAAAATACATGTTGAAGAAAAGGTGAAAATCCGAATTGTTTAGAAAATATGCAAAATGGAGCAAAACATTTAAACTTTTTGAAGCGAAAAAAAGAAAAAAAGAAAAAAAGAAAGAAGAACAGATAAGAAGAGATTCTTAAAGAGATTAATTTGTTCTAAATAAATTTTGAGAAAAAGGAAAGATTTTGATTCTCCCAGATGGTTCCATATGCTGAAGAATTCACGAAAACACCTCTTGCAGTGCCATGCCATATAACTTCGTCTCCTTCATCGGTGAATTGCAAATCGATTGCTTCAATTAAGAAGATATTTGAAGGCAAAAACTCTTGAAATACTTCCATATAGTGTTCCCTTTGATGAAAAACTTCACGACCTGTGAGATTTTTGTATCTTTGAATCATTCCATTTTGTATCTTGGAATCATTCCAGCATTTACTACTTTATAAAACTTAGCACCCAACCAATTATCTCTCCAAAAGTTTGATCCATTGCTGATGAAAACACTAGAGTTTATTGAAACAATATGTTCAAATTTTTCTGATTTTTGTCTAGCTCATTTCCGGTTTGATGTGTCTTAAAGTGATGCGCCATAGGATTAGTCCATATTCCTTTTATGGTTCTTAACTTCAACCACAATTATAGTGAGAAGGCATTGATTAATTATTTCATGGAATTTTCTTAGTGATAAACCGTCTTCTTCAATAGAAAAAGTAAGTTTCTTCTAGGACGGTCAATGTCAATTTGTCCTCCCATATACTTCTCTCCATAAGAAACCTTGACAATCTATTTCCTATTCTATTATTACTGATTTCAGAGAGGAGATGCCAGTAAAAATGTGCAGGTATTTGCCAACATATTTGCCAAGAAGCGCCATTCTACCCTATCATAGGCTTTCGCCATATCTAGTTTAACAGCAACTTATTAATGTGCTATGGTCACATTATCTAAAATTTGCCTTCCAACTACAAAAGCCGATTAATTATCACTAATACAAAAAGGAAGGAGAGGTTTCAATCTTTCAGCCAAAATTTTTGAAATTATTTTGTAAATAACAGTACACAAACTTATAGGTCTAAACTAGGAGACTTTATTTGGATTTTCAATTTTTGGTATCAAAAGAAACAAGTGTATGGTTAAAAGATTTCAGCATTTTGTTCGAACGAAAGAAACTCTGAATAGCAATGCATACATCTGATTTAACTATATTCCAAAAAAAACTGAATGAATAAAGGGGTCATACCGTCTAAGCCAGGTGCTTTGGTAGGGTTCATACTGAATAATGCTGACTTGATCTCACCCTCCTCAACCGGGCGAATCAGTGTGGAGTTCATGTCATTTGTGATAGTGCTAGGAACTTCCTCCAACATGCCTTCCCATGCCCAAGTATCCTCAGATCTAAATAGATTCTCATAGAAAGCTCCTACTTCATTACCAATTTCATCCTCTGTTTCACATAAGGAGCCATCTACCCTTTCTAACACCTCTATTCTGTTCTTTTTTCACTTTTTTATCATCAAGGCATGAAAATTTTTTGAAATTTTTGTCCCCCACTTTCAACCAACTATTTCTACTTTTCTGAGCCTAAAAACTCTCATGTTCTTCATATGCTTTATCCATTGCATTTTTCAGCTCCGGCCATCTAGCCCAGTCCCTTTCTCCCCCCAGTCTATCTTGAAATTTCTATCTCCTCCGTTGTCTCCTTTATCACCCTGCTAGCATTAGTATACATTCCCCTATTCCACTTCAACAACTCCAACCTACATCTTTTTATTTTCAACGAGAGTCTATGCATTGGAGACCCTTCATATTGTTCATCCCAAGCTTTTTGTATCACCTATGTCACCCCTTCTTTCTCCAACCTACCTTTTATCGAAACAAAATCTAGGGCACTTTTTGGTTATGGAGGGTTTTGTATCTGATACAATCATACAATGATCAGAAGAGTGACGGCTGACATAGATAACAATGGCCTGATCATTCTCCAGCAGCCACCGCGTCGACTTAAAAAACCTATCTAACCGCTCCTCTATATAGCCTTCCCCCTCCCTATCTAACCTCTCTTCCATCCGCAACGCACTAATAAAGTCACAGAACCCAGCATCGCTATTCTCACTCCTCAATCTACCACCCTTTTTCTCACCCCCTTCTCTAATGTCATCAAAATCACCCCCATAAACCACCTCTCTCCCCACAAACTCTGTTTACTAATCAATTCCTTCCACTGCCTTTCCCTTCCTATTCTACCCATACTTGCATAAATAAACATACCCCAACATCTACCTTTAGTTTCTTTAGTTTCAAACTCTACTTCTAATGAAGTCTGAAACTAACACATTATAAATAGTTACATCAGCACTATATCCCAGAACCATACCCCCTCTAAGCCCATTTTGATTCAACACATACCATCTATCATTGAACCCTAACTTTCTACCAACCGAATTGACAAAACCCTTCTTCTTCCTAGTCTCACACAGAAAGACTAACTCTGGATTATAGAGTCGACATGACTCTTTTAATTGTAAAACTGTAGAGGAGCTTCCTAGTCCTCTACAGTTCCACGCTATGGCTCTCATTGGGAACTTTGGGGCCATTCTAGGGTGGCAACCCCCTCCTTATTTTCGTGCATCACTATCATACCGCCTTTCACCAGTTCTTTTTCCTTCACATACTCACAACTGCCATATGATTTTCTTCTCTTTTGATCTGATTGACCATACTCCCTTTCCTCCATACAATTCTTTCTTATTCATTTTCCCATCAGATCACCAAGGCATTTTTCCTTTACTTTCTTCATCTTATTCTGATCATTCTTTCCTTCTCTGGCCATCTTTTTCCACTGTCCCTTTTTTCCCCGTCCCATCCCCTCCTGCATTTGTCTGTTGCACCTTCTATCAACATTTGTGATATCCATTAACACTGGTCGCCTTGTTTGAGTATTTTTCTCCTCCCTTCTCACATCTTCATTAGATAGCATTTCATCAAACTCCATCTACTCCATATATGTATCATCCCCTTTCCAATCACTTCCATCTAGTTTCATCCCCTGCCCAAATAAGCTTTCAATGTGGTCACTCCCTCCTTCCCCAGTCCTAAGTTGTCTTTCATGAATCTCTTTTCTTACCATATCAGTCCAGGATTTTACACCACTTTGTTCCCCATTCCCAGTCCGAGCATTACTTTCACCCTTCATGACCTCTTGAGCCGAAGATTCACCTCCTTCCTCTATCTTTCCTTTTCCCTTATCCCCTATTACATTTTCCTTGTCTACCACAATATTCCCCCTCTCCTCGTGAGACTGATCTCTGTCCCTCTCCTCCAAACTACCCTGATCTACTATAGTTATCCCTTTATTAATCTTCTCAGTATGAGCAACCCGACTTTGCTCCAATTCCTTATTTTCCTGACCACCCATCCCCATTCCTTTTTCCAACCTGTTCCCTTTTCCTTCAGTATCTTCATCTGGGATTGCCTTCCCCCTCTTTCCAGTATCCCGCTTTTATCCACTGCCCAAACTCTCTATTTTTCAGACAATTATTCTCCAAATCTCTACCACTTTCTTCACACAATTTCTCAAAATTTCCAATATGGCCACAATAATGAAAGAATCCAGCAAGATTTTCATATTTAAACAACACACATACCTCTTTTCCATTATATCTTACCCATGTCCCTTGCTCCAATCTCTTCCTGAGATCGAGCTCTACAAGGACTTCGATATGACGATGTTCAGAGCTGGGTAGATCTGGGACCAAGACATCTCGAACCCTTTCAAGATTTGCTCTCAGTTTGAATCCTATCTCCTTCAAGATCCAATGTGCTGGCACGTTCCAGATCTGTATCTGAATCGGGGTAAAATTGAAGCTTTCGCAGCCATAATTCATATTCTCGATCCATTTCTCCAAAACCAGGAAGTGCCCATCAAAAGACCATGGTCTCTGGCACATCACCGCTTCCCTTTCCTCTTTCGACGAGAAAATGAATTGAAATGTGTTACACTTCAAATTACCCACCCTTTCCAGTCCCTTTTGACCCCATGGAATCTCCATTGCATTTTGAACTCCAAAGTAGTTCATTTTCTTCTCCCCAAAAATTTTCCGGACAAGGTTATGCTTACCCTCATCCCTCCCTTTTTTCTTGTGTCCCCCTCACCCATATCCACTCGCGTATTTTCTGTTGAAGAGAGAGAAAAGATTTTGAATTTTTCCAGGATCTGGTTTCCATTTTTCTAGCACTATCACAACGTGTCAAGAGCTCTACATTGATAATAATTTTCTTACAGAGTGATTAAATATGCTTCAAATGCACAATAAAGGCTTTGGGTCTATCTAATTCCTAGATCTGAAATAAATATAACCTTGTGTCCTATTTCTATTATTTAAAATTTTTACCATCTTCACCACTTTGAAAAATGTTTCGAAGTTTTTGGAATTTTTTTTGAAAAGTTCTAAATTTTTGAAAATTTTTCAAAAACCATTAACTCCCACCAATGGGGAGGGCTGAACTCTCAATAAGGAGAGAGAAACACTCTCAACAAGGAGAGAGAAACTTTCAATCGCCAACGGCTCGTTACCGAAAAAAGATATCAATCGCCGGGAGAACGCAATCGCCGGGCGCCTACCCAACCGAGTAAGCATCTAAAAATGACGCTAAAATGGCAGATTAAGCGCCAGATATAGACGTTGCAAACCATTAGGTAGCGTCCATTCTGGACGCCGACAACGCCCCTCCTTTTTTTCTTATCTTTTTTGTTTTTCATTCTTTATATTAAATTGCATATTTTTAATTTACAATAAATTTAATTATTTTTTATTTACTAGTTAATTTTATCCATGTATTAGGTATTTATTTTTTATTATTTTTTGAACATGATTTGTGTTGTTTTAAGTATATAATGTTAGTGTAAATAATTGTTAATTTAATTTATAGTAATTTTTTTTGAATTTTTCAACTTATTTTAATTCGCATTAAGATATTAATTTTCATTTCTTTTTTTTTTAAATTTAGTTACTTTAATGTAAAATAACTTTATTTAATATAGTAAAAAAATTAATTAATGAGTTACTCTATGATTAATTAAGTATGTGATTTGTTTCAATAAATGTTATGATATGTTTTGTAGGATGATTTTGAGCATTTTGGTGGTGATGGAATTCATTACAGTGGACGTTTTGTCACTGTTAATAAATTTATTAGTGATGCAGAAGCAATAACATGGGCCAAGAAAGCGGCAATTGGCATTGGTTTCACATTAAATATTTCTTCGTGGAAGAAGGGGAATAAGAAGAAATTACTGAAATGTTCACGCGGTAGGTGGTTAAAACCGAAAAAGGTAGACGTGAATAAAATTTTGCGAAGAAATACCAAGACATAAAAGTGCAGGTGCCCATTTGAGATAGTAGTCCAACAATATTCTGGTTCGCCATATTGGGGAATCCGCGTTTTAAGCAATCTTAAGGGTACGCACAATCATGATTTGGCTCGATATCCGGAGGGATATAGACAAATGAGCGAACTCAACGCTGGATAAAAAAAACTTGTGCAGGAACTAACAACAGCTCAAACAAGACCATGTTCTATTTTGGCGACTATCCATAAACAATATCTAGATGACCACGCTACCATCAAATAGGTGTACAACTTCGGGGATCATTTTTGGAGGATTGGCTTAGATGGTAGAAATGCCGTGGGTCAGTTTTTGAAATTAGCACAGGAGAACAAATACGCTGTTACACATCTTGGTGAGGAGTCCCCAGCAAATGTGTTGACTCATCTTTTTGCTGCACATCCAGAATCAATAAAGTGGTTCCGGACCTACCCCTTGTATATAGGCATGGATATCACCTACAAAACCAATGTGTACAAGATGCCCTTCTTTGAAATGGTAGGGATGACTACATGCAATAATAACTTTACTATAGCATATGCTTTTATGAAGGATGAGACCCAGGATAGCTATAAATGGGTGTTGACACAGTTGAAAAATTTGATTAGTGATGATGTGCATCCGACTGCAGTTATCAGTGATCGGGAGTCTGGATTGATGACACCGATTAGTGTTTGTTTTCCACATTTGGCCCACTTGATTTGCACCTGGCACATCAACAGAGACATTGAGCACATAGTCAACATCATCTGTAAGAATAAAGAATTTGCAAAACAGTTCAAGCAAGGATTGTGGAGAATGATCATGGAAGTGTCATCGAGGAGAAATATAAAGAAGCCGTGCAGAATATGATGGAGAGGATGGAGAGCTGCCCCAAAGTAATTAAGTATGTTCAGGACACATGGTTAGTGGACAAGGAGAAGTTTGTTCGAGCGTGGACGAGCAAGGCACTACACCTTGGCAATACTACTTCATGCAGAGTCGAGAGTGCGCATGCATCGTTGAAATAATGGATTTGTACGTCACGTGGTACTTTGGATAGTGTGTTTACTAATGTCCATAAGCAAATTGACTCCGAGCTGATGCAGATCAGTTACCCTGAATTTATTTCCTTTTGTTTGTAATATTCTTATATTACTAAAAATTGTTTATTAGTAAAAATTATTCTGTTTTGTTAACAGGTATGCACTGGAAGACTCGAGACGTCGTACAGGACGATTGTACTTGGGGTTGCCATTGTCATATTTGAACGGTCGTGTTTCACTCTATTGTTTGGATTTACTGACAGTTGAGTTGACTTGGATGAAGAACTTGAGCAATAAAGTTGATGAGCAATGCGAATGTCCCCTCAGGAACACTCATCAGATTCCATGTGCATGTGAGCTGAAAAAAGCGATTGATGCAAAAAATTTCCATTAGTGTAGAGAGTCTCCACACATTTTGCAGAACAGTTGCTTTTGATGCTCCTGATGATTTAGGTTCTACTGATTTGTCGGAGGATCATCTGATGTTCTAGAAGCTTGTTGATGAGATAAACTCAATCGATTCTTCTGTCGTGCACAAAATAAATGTTATCCTCGATAGAGAACTTTACCCTCATCAAAGAGGCTACACAGAGCCGGAGGTGAACTCGAAAGGAAAAGGTCGACCAAAGAGTAGCACCTCCATGAGACGTGAAAAGAGTGGGCGGGAGCACCGAGGCAGGGGTCGTGGTCGTGGGCGTGGTTGCATAAGCAGTCCTTCTCCTAGGCGCACGCCCCCGTCATCCATCCATACAACTGATAAAGATGGTATGAATAAATTAAATTTTCTCATTTTGGTATAATGAATGTACTATTTATAGATATATGAATATGTGTCCTTTGACCATATGTTTAATGTTGCAGATGGAAGGCGAAGAGATATTTTGTCATTTCACAATCATAATTTCATTCAGGGAATAATTAAACCATTCATTGAAAGCTATACTGATGTGTTGGGAGATGGAAACTGTGGTTTTCTTGTTGTGGCTGACTACATGTACAAGACAGAATGGATGATGGTAAGAAACAACGTTGCTAATGAAGTTCAAACGTACAGTGAATTGTACGAGCCAATGTACTGTAGTGATGTTGCATCAGCAATCTAGCGCATATGGTGGGAAGGGAGCAGTTGTGGAGAAGGCTAATATATGGAGATCTTTAGTGACATGTTTTCCATTGCCACAGTGTACAATGCAGCTGTATTTGTATACGGGTTCGGCACTGGTGGTTCATTGTAGTCATGCTTCACTGTATTGCCGCTGCGAGCACCCTCGATAGCAACACGACCGGCCCGTGAGTTTGTCGTATGTCATTTAGGCGATGTTCCGAAACACTTCATCCGTCTAGATTTGAAACCAAGTTTTCCTATGCCCCGCATAGTTTTTTATTGGTTTAGGTACCGTCAGGCTAGTGTTATGGGTTGGGAAAACCACTATCAGTGTAGTATAGCACAATGGGAGGCTCTAGCGAATTGATGTACTATAAGACGTTTCAAATGATATTTTTATTATTGGTTACAGTATATTGTTATTGTTGTTTATGTTTTTTTTTTCTAATACTTGAAAAATATGATAAATGAATTAAATCCATAGTGCTTAAACTGAAAAAAAAAATCAATATTCAACAATCATTATTTAAATAAGTCAAACTTTATACTTTAATTAACAAAAAAGAAAAATCCAACAATCATCAATGAAATAGGTCCTTAAATACTTTAACCAAAACAAAAAGGAATCCAACAATCATCATTGTATTTAAATCAAGTTGCCGCATCCTACTCGGCCTTAAACTCCTCAAAGTATGCGTCACCTTTCGCTGCCCTATCCTCATCTACTGCTTCATATCTCTTAAGCAACTTAGAGTAGGCGTCCATCACACAATTCACCCACTAAAAAAATGATTGAGATTCGGTTGAAATATATAATCATGTTACAATTAAAGAACAATAGAACAGCAACTTTCGTATTCAGAGTTAGAGCAAGAAGTAATCGCCGGTGTATCTAACTGAGTAACTCTCAATAACAGACGATGCGAGTACTGCTGGTACCATTCCATGTATTTATCCTCACATGCTCCAGGATTTGAACCACAGGGTGGTACAAAAGAAGGTTGATGGAGTGACCCTCGGGGAACTGTTCCCATGCATCGATGGAGTTCTTATTAGGATGTTCAATCTTGTACTTAAGGAGAACAATAGGCCGTTCAACCTTCGATGGCCTGGTGATTTTGGTCGGGATGGTCTGCACACAATCGAGCTGATGTAACACTCATGCAGACATGTATGGCTCAATAATATCCCTGTACCTTAGCCAACCCATGAAAATCGTCCTTGGAATGTAAGAAGTCAGATCCGATTCAATACCGTAAGGTAACCACGTCACCTGCACACAGACATAAACGATTGTTTAAAGTAAAATTTTTTTTAATGAAGTATTCAATTAATGTAGCAAATTGTAATGACAAAAAAACGTACGTCGAATGTGGTAAACTGGTCAATCTAACGTCGAAAACTTTCTAGCCGGTTTTCTGGGTTGTCCCACTTCATTACACTCCACGTGGGGGCTAGAGGTCTGTTAGATTGGAGGCTCAATCGCTTGGAAAAGGGTCGGAACTCTGGAAAATACTCATATATCCATGCCTGAATCAGGGTCAGGCAACCAGTCATACCCTTACAATTTGCTCTACTAGCCACCCCTAACTGGCGATAGGGATAAGCTAATGCAGCAGATCCCAGGATATCTTTGAAATACCCTCCAACCCTTGCACCACGTCAGCCAGACACGACGATCTAACCCGATCCCCACTCGTGTCCACAAACAATGTGCTACCTCACATCACCCATACCCAAGCGATTGCCTGATCCTTCGGCGATCGTGAGGATAGTTTACATGTTGTAATGATCTTTCAGTTTTCAGTGTCCCACTTTCCTAAATCTTATCATTTTTAAGTTGTTCTGGAGTCACTGTCATCAACTCTAAACACATATTAGGCAGTTTTGATGTTTCAGGAACATCAGAAATTATTTTTCCAGCCATTGGAATTCCCAAAATATACCACACATCATGAAGCATGATAGTCATCTCACCGAATGGCATGTGAAAAGAGTTTGTATCAGGTTGCCACCTCTCCAGAAACGCACATATCAATGCATTGTCGATGGTATTGTACATGATAGATGGTTGGTGCGACAACCTAGTATCATCAATCATTTTCTGCCCCTGAGGTCCCAACTCATTTTACCATTCAATCAACTTCTTACAAACTTTTTCTGGGGTCTACAACTTCAACATGTCTCTCACCTCGCCATTTCATATCTTATAGGCGATGTGTCCAAGAAAAATAGGAATTACACTACCGTCTACAGGGCCACCCAGCACTGGTCCTGAAACCATCCAGTTCTCACCATTATCAGTCCTGGAACGCTTGCTACTGCCTAAAATTATTTTAAGATAATAAACAAATATTAAATATTTCTGCCTCAATCCTACACAATGATTCAAATTTTAAAATAAGTAACACAATTACTCTAATTTTTTCTCTGATGATCCAGTACATATAAAACGAGCAACAGTGCCACAGGGAAGGCGATGAGACTCCTCAGACTCTTCACTCGATTATGAAAAAAACGTTTCATCATTCTGATCGAATACCATATCCACTCCCCCTACATCGGTATCGTCATGATGAGACTCAGCGTGGCGATCATTATGCATTATCTTTATCTTCGGCTTCGTCTTCCCTCTTCCTCTTTGCCCTCTGGCGGATGCGTTAACATAACGGGTCTTAGTGCATCGTAGTCCGTCGCCAATAACAAGAGGCTCCTCTTCACTACCAATATTGGCGCCAGCCTCAACCTCAACAAACTAAAATTTTATTTATTAACTATAAATAGATATAACTTATTTATACAATTTAAAAGAAATTATCATTATATTAATTATATTATAAAAAATCATATCATATCAATTTATCCTTGATTATACTTAAAACAAATTATACAATAACTCATTGATTAATTTATTTATGATATTAAAAAAAGATAATTTACATTAAAGCAACTAACATTAAAGTAACTAAAAGACATGAAAAATTAATTTAGTTACAAAAATTAAAATAAGTTGATAAATTCCTTTTGAAATTTCAAATTACTATAAATTAAACTTACAATAATTTACACTAACATTATACACTTAAAACAACACAACTATTTTTAAATAAAATTTTATAAATAAGAATAAATAAAAACTAAATACCTAATAAATTTTCTAAAATTATTTAAATTAACTAATAAATACCTAATAAATTTTATAAAATTAACTAGGAAATAAAAAATAAAAACATTATTGTTTTAAAAAATTAAATTAAAAAAAATAATTTAATGTAAGTAATGTAAAATAAATAAAATGTAAATTTTTTTTTTTCAAAAAGCAGGGGCTCAGGCGTCCGGGTAGGACGCTGGCTAGTAGCCTGAGGCGCCTACATCACGTGGCGCTGATAGCGCCAAGAATGTCTACCTCAGACGTTTAACCCGATGGTGAGGTGCTCAGTAATGGCGTGTCACCGTCGGTTAAAGCGTCCTAGTTAGACGCCAAAATTGTCTGCGTTGGATGTTTAACACCACGGTGAGGCGTCCAATGGTGGCATCTTACGGTCGATAGAAGCGTCCTAATTAGACGCCTCCATTGCGGAGGCAGAGTCCTTGGACGCAAAGGCCGCCGTTCAGGCGTCCATTCTGGACGTTCACTCATCGCTGCAGTTTTTTTTTTTTCGAAACCAGAACGAACAAGCCGACGAAATCACAAAAATACATGCCACACATCAATTTTTGAATACGAATCTAACAAAAACACTTATGAAAATGAACCTTAAGCAAAATAAACTTAAAAAACTCCCCCCCCAACCCCTATTTTTGGCCGGTGGCTCAATAGCCTCTTTTTTCTATTTGATTATTTTTTTCTCTTTGATTGGGGAAAAAAATTTAAACAAATTGAAAACTTACTTGATTTACCAGTAGACCTTTGCCTCGACCATGACCTTTTGGAGGCTTCATTGTTGCAACCCAGATTGAAGAAATTGTGTTATTTCTTTTTGTTTGAGTTTGGAAGGATTTAGAGAGAAAGACTAAAAGGGTTTATGTGTTTTAATGTTATGACGGGTAAAAATGTCCAAAGGAATCAAAGTCTACCGCTAAGAATACAAAGGTATTAAATAAAAACTCTCTCTGTACCTCAACTGTTTTCTCGGCGCACGTTTGCGTCTTGCTAACCAACGCCACGCCATGGCGAAAGCAGTGAGAAAAGTGTAGAAGAAAGTTGTCGCAGTAGAGGAAAAGAAGCAAGTTATCACAGAAGAGGAAGAAAACACGAATCAGAGTGGAAATCCTCCATTGAGAGACGCAGATCTGGAAGTAATTGCTTGAGAGCAAAGCCCTAATTGGGGGAAAAGGAATTTGCCAACGGAGAAAACGATTGGCCGCCAGGAATCATGGGCGGATGCGATGGAGAAAGCACAAGTGGATACTCCATGAAAGAAGTTTGATATTGGGCAAATGTGAGGGAACGGTTGGACTCTGGAATTCATTTCGCCGAAGGAAGTTGAAGGACGCAAGATCTGGACTGTGCAAGCAAATAAGGTAGAAATTGAGGCTCAATACTGGGAGCCTTCGATAGTGTGTTTTGTCCTGTGTTCAAATCCCCCGTATGCGGTTATGAACAGGCATGTTAGGAATCTATGGAGCCACTTTGGAGTTGACAAGGTAATCATATTACCGTCTAATTTATTTGTGGTGCGCTTTACTACTGTTCATACTCGTGATTGTTTCTGAATTCAAATTTGTATCATCTGGGGAGTAGACCACTTGTGATAAAACCCTGGACTGTTGATAAAGGCATTACAGAGAAATTAGTAGGGTTCCGGCATGGGTGCAATTGAAAGGGTTAGAGTTAAAATACTGGAATAATGATACCTTAAGCAGAATGGCTAGTACTCTAGGGTTGCCAATTAGAACTGATGAGGCTACTGCTAGAAGAGATAAGGTTCAGTAATCAAGGATAATGGTAGAAATGGAAATTAAGCCACAGGTTCCAGATACGATCTGCTTTGAGGA